CTAAAGTTAAATGGTCCGAGGCTGATCTCGGATGATCTTTTAAGTCTCGAAATACGAACAGCTCCAAATGAATGTGTTGTCCGGATCTCATTAAAGAAAAGCCACAACAAAGACTAGGGAAAGACCTCTGCCAGATTTCAGACACCAGCACACAGCAGCTTACACTCCTTGGCTGCAGAATATGTGGCCATGGCCAGTATCTATCTAGGATGGTCCAGACAGGAAGAAAATGCAGCAGGCCAAGGCTTCTGCTCTGCACCCAGAGAGGACATGGCTGCTCTGGTTCAGTGCATAGGCACAGGGTGATCCCTGCCCTTGAGAGGACACTAGAAGTCACACACATGTATTTAAGCACCCCGTCAGAAATAATACCTCAGAGGGTAGCAGAGATGACAGTTAAATGCATGTTCCTGAAGCAAATGCCAATGATGAACTGTGTAACTACACACAGTAAAGGAACAGGGGTTATATTTAGCAGCCTGTGTATGAATATTATGTCAACTTCGTGCTTTGTCACCAATTCTTCTGCTACAGGTATTCACCAGGGTGTATTAACATATATAAAACTTCAGGCTGAGTGGTTTTTCCTAGAGCATTTCCAAGTCTAATAACCTCATTTATCTCCTGCTCATGATCAGCACAAAAACCCAGCCAGAAAAAAACCCCCTCATCACAGCACCACATAGAGTTTCACTGTCCTCTGCCAGTGAAGTGTTTCACTCACAATTCCAACTTGCTTCCTCATCACTTGTTCTACCATTTCCTGGCAATTTCAGTCCACATCAAATCAAATTTGTCTGGACACAGAGAACAACTAGGACTTAAGAAAACCATCTTATTTAATAATCCAGCCAAGCAGGTTCCACACAAGCCAACCACCCACAAAACTGGGTGCTTTCAGCTCCAGTGAAATCCACCTCAGGACAGCAGGGATGTCACTTAGCATGGAAAACAGAAACAAGATGTTGAATCAGATATGGACTTAGGGTGTCTCTCCCACCCTCTGTGCCAGAAAGGCCCTATTTTGAAACAAAACAGGCCAGGGAGGCAAGTGAAGGCTGCAGCCAGCACAGATGGAGGTGCAGAGCAGAGCTCGGTGTGGTGGGTCACACAGGGAGAGCCCCATTTGTGTGGGCATGAGGAGGATTTAAAAATCAAAGACTGTTGGGCCAGCAGAGCTGTTTCAATCAGGAGTGTCTGCACTTTGCTCTGCTCAAGGGCACAATAGCAATTATCCAGAGTCCACATTCTCCTTTTAGCTGGGATGCCTGGAGCAGACAGCTCTTCACTGTCAGTACTGGGACAGTAGAGTTCTGATCAGGTCAGGACCAGGCTGGACATCAGCCACGGGCTCTGTGAGCTGCCCTCCTGGTTAGGTCAGGCCGGGTCTCTAGAACAAGTGCTGCTTTCTGAGGAACCTGAGAATTTCGGAAATCAGACATTCAAACACCTGTAAAGCCTTGGCCACACATCCAGATACCTGCTGGCTGCTCAGGACTGCAAAACATCACAGTACGTGAGGCAGACACGGCTTTGTACATCAAACACCAGCAAGAGAAAACTCATTAGGGTTTAGAAATGGAGACACATTTCAAATATCAGAACTTACAGGGAAAATTCCTGCACTTGGTACTCTGGCAAGGCAGAGGGACACTGCCATGTGATGCAGGATGGCATCAGGAATGGCAGTGTCCCACAGGAGCTTCACAGCCTCAGCAGGTGTGGGGTGAGGGAAAGCAGAAGCATCAGATGCTCTCCGGGCACTGCAATGTCCACTAAAGCAGGAGACCACAGTGGTGCTCACAGAATAACCAAGGAGTGTCCTCCCAGCAAGATGTATTTATTATTCAGCAGTCAACCTCAGGACAGCAGTGACAGTGCACAAAACAGCAAACCCCAGTGCTCATTTAGGCTTCACGACAGCCCAGGCACAGTCCTTGACTCCCCCCATCTTCTGGGGGAGAAACAACACCAGGGCCCTGAACCATGCTAACACTGGTTTTGTGGGTTTTTTTTTAAGGGGGAGAGGGTTTGGACAGGGATGGTTCTAATCTCTGTCATTTTATAGTTCAACTAAGAGTTCACTTAAGATCACAGGCCCATGGAACCACATTGCCAAAGCCACCACTGAACAGCCTCTCTCAGTTCTCATGTCTACACTTCAAAAAATCAAACTAGAGAGAGGATTCAGAAATCTCGGGGAAACTCTACTCAAAATACAGAGCCTAAGGAAGCCAAATCTATTAATTTTTGTCAATTAAATGGTCATTAAATTAATTTTGGCACAGTCCAAGTACATTGAAAGGATTAAAAAACTGTGACAACAAATGGCTGACTAGGAAAAACACAAATGAACTGCAAAGAGAGCGCCACTGTTCCACTGCCTGAAGCTCCCAATGAAACCAATGTCATTTTTCTTAAAAAAAAAAAAAAAAAAAAAAAAAAAAAAAAAAAAAAAAGCCATAGTTGAGCTGGAACGTGTGGATTTAACATTAATAACTACACCACGATCTTCAAGCTGTGTCCCATCACAGAATCCAGACAAAAATCATCTTGGCATCTTTTAATTTGAAGCTTAAGAGCCTAACAGAAACCATCCCTGTGAAGCACCATAAGGCACTCCCACCACAACAAACAACCCTCACGGGCACCTCGTCAGCGCTGAGCTCTTCCTCAGGGCCATTCCCTAGTACCCACATGAACTTCTGCAGGGCTGATGTCACCTGCTAGCCCTGACATCACCAATATATACATTTATATAGTTAGCTTTTTCAGCCGTTTTACAGATTTCTGAAGTCGGCACCTGAACCACACACTCCCACCCTGCTCAGTGGTGGCTGTGCCGAGGGGGAAGTGATGACTGGAGACCAACAACGCCACGACAGGGAAAGTCCAGCCAAGCAGACACCACAGCTCAGGAACTTCCCATACCTGCTTCGTTGGTTTTAATGCTCCTGCTGGTCCCACCGCCCCTGATGCTATCGGGTGGCAGCACGTCCTGTGGCAGAGTGACACATTTAATAGCATGTTGTGTGAAACAGCACTTCCACCTCTTTATTTTGGCCCTGCTGCATCATACTTTCCTGTAAGAAACAGAAAATTGATGCTCCCTCCTCGCTTTCTCTGACCTGCCCATGACTTCACGCACCTGCATCATATCTCCTGTCAGCAAGTCTCCTCCCTAAGGTGAGGAAACAAGGCTTTGCTTGCCCAAAAACTTGCTCATCTCTGCTGCTCCTGCCTTTTCCAGCGCTCCCCTTTTGGGGTGGTCTAACCATAACTACCAGGGCACAAACTGCCAACCATTTAGGCAGCAGCATAATGATGTTTTCTATCTCATTCTCTGCTCCTTTAAAGTAATTCCAAAATATCCTTTTTAGGACACAGTGGGCTGTTGAAGTTGTTTTAAAAAAAGCAATTACTAAGACTCCAACAGCTCTTCCCTGAACAGTAGAGTAGAGTCAATTACTGGAGCGTTTGTTGCCTTCATTACACCTGTTGCCATCATATCTCGTTTACCACACCACCACTCCCACCCAGTATTATCTGGTCTCTGCAACTCCACAGTCTGGTTTAGCTATCCTAAATAATTTAGGATTAAATTTTCCTTCTCCACATCACCATACTCAGGAAAACAAACAAAAAAAAAAGAGCAGTGAAGATGACAGTGAAACTCCACAATAAACTCACTCCACTGTGAGCACCAATCACCTACCATTTTTTGCCACCTTTTAGTCATTTATTAAACCCAAAAAGGGCCTTCCCAGGCTGCCAGCCCTCTGCTTTTCAGGGAGGGCCTTGGCAGAAGTTTGGAAAGCCTAATGCAGCGGTCTGGGAATCCCACCTGCAGACCAGGGTGATCCAGGAATCCCACCTGCGGAGCAGGGGGATTCGGGACCACCGGTGGACCTGAGAAACCAAGGTCAGACCCTTTCCTTCCCTCGCCTCCAAGAACAGCATCCCGATGTTCCCCAACGCCACATCTCCTCACATCCACCAGCTCCCCACACCGTGTCAGCGATGTCCCGCA